ATATACAAATTACACACATACCGGAAGGCATACACTTTTCAATAAGTCTCTCTCCATGAACCTAGTTATCCATAATACAGTCACCCCATGCCTATGTTGTTGCTTATGGGATAGAAATTTTATGCATTCAATACTTATTAAAAAAAACAAAAATTTATGCATACAGCATGTGTAGACCTACCAAAAGGAGAGAAGAACAAAAAGGGAAGGTAGAAAACGAATTGCATTCTGGCCAAATGTGGGGCTAAAGCTTCAGAGGCCATAGTTTGGCATACTTGACCTCCAGATTTTATGAATGTGCCTCTAAGTTTTATGATAGCAAATACTCCCTGTGAAAGGAAGTGTTTTTGTATATCAGTTTAACATGTTCTTAATTTTATGAAAACAGGTAGGGGACCCTTATCCCCGTCTCATTTAACTCCCAAAAAAAGAGAAAAAGAAAAAAAAAAAGCTGCGAAAAAGAAATCGGGAGTTACATAATGCCTGAAGGACTTCAGAGGAACCTTTGTATTCTTGATATTGTGTTAGTACTATTTTATGTCATCTATGTCAAGGAACAAAAAAGAGCACAACCATGAAATGAACATTTTCCGCTACGCATGCAAGCCTAGAGTAAGCATGTACCTTTTACAAGGCATCTAGGCTCGAGATAGCAAAGTATCAAGAATAAACTCGAAGCACCGGCTTGGCCGTTAATTAGTGCTTTTGTCACTCTAGTTCAAAATAAATATTGGGTTTAATAAAAAATTGATAAAAAATAATATTTGACTAGTCAAACTAGCCAAATCAATTTAGGCCATTTTTTTTTTGTAATACATTTCATTTCTTAAACTATTTTTTGTTTTTTGCTATTTTTCAAATGCAATCCATTTAGTTCAACCAGTGGCCAAACAAATTATGATTGGATCAAACCCTTCACTGATTAGCCAACCCAAACATGATGACATTGATAATGATAACCCTCAGTGAATGCACAACTTTATTAGTTGACAAAAAGAATGTTTCTAAATAAAATATTGCTTTTGGTAAATTGAAAAGAAATAGGAAATTGTAAGGTGAGAAGTAAAAACATATTAAATCTAAGCTTATTCCAATTTAAAAAAAAAGATAAAAAATTAAAATATATTTTATATAATCAAATAATGGGACTTAATTGTAAAATATATATGTAACTATTCCAAATTTCTCAAATAAATCAGAATATCTCTGTAAATTTTCCAATCCATTTTTGCATAAATTTACTAAAATATTCTTTCATGCATGTAGCATAAATAGGTGAATCAAAATGAGAAGTGATACTTGCATTGACAAAACAATCATGGAAATGCAAGCGAAGTAAGGAGGCGCCCATGCGAGCTTCCTTCTTAACTGCAGCTTTCACTGCGGTTTGAATGGTGTAGAGGGCTTTTGGACACGAAGACGAGTAAAAAGTTGAAGAAAGATCAGCAGAGGAAGCTGCAAAGAGAGGGAGGAAGACCATGGCAAAACCAAGGACAGAGACAAAGAAAGCCATTGCTTCTCTTAGGAAATAGAGAGAAAGATAGAAGACTTGATAACAAAGCAGCCCTAAGTGGGGTTTATATAGGAGAAAGAGGTCACTAATGATTTCAACTTTGTTCAAATTTCAAACATCAGATCATTAATTATGCACAAAAGAGGTGTGAACGCTTGGAAGTGGAAGAATCTTCTCAAACATTAGGCTTCCACCTTCGTTTATTTTTCAGATTCTTTGTAGGTTGGAGCCGCCCTTATTAGACTTCTTTAAATTGTCAACCAAAATCAAAAGAACCATCTTTTCAAAAGAATAGAAATGCATAGCATGTCACTTGACTGGGTTCAAAAATGTATCCATTTGTTATTCAAATCCCACCAAAACGCCAGCATGTTTGAATCTACTCGTTATCGCTAGCAATTCGTTACAATAAAATTATACCTCGTAATGAAGGAAAATGGTTTCATAGGGCTGCAGCCCTATCAAAATAAGTAAAGCCTTGCCTCACCACTCATCAAATATTACAATTCAAGTGTTGAAAACTTTTAAATCGATCATCTCAGCTTGAATATTATAGTTGTGAAAAAAATTAGGATTTCAAGTTCTCAAAATAGTGTATATTGCAACAAATCATCTAGACCATCATTTTCACCCTAAAATAAGTGTTCGCAAATCTGTAAGATCTGTACCATTTTTTGAGTTTCAAATTTTATTGCCAGTGTTGGAAATTGATTTTGGAGCCATCATGAAGATTTATGAAGCTTAAAATGACTTCCGAATGAGGATTTGAGGTGACGCTCTATTTTATTTTCAGAATTCCTAGACGCTATAGAAACTTCATCCAATAATGAATTACTTGCTATTTGGTAGTATTCACTATAAAGTTGTATGAAATGAGCTTAAAGGAAATTTTACATATAAGTTATCTTTTTTAAAAGTTGTTTTTATTTTATTCAACGTAATTTGTTGAAAATCACTTGTTTTTAGTTAAAAATAGCTAAAAAAAAAAAAGCTACAAATCACCAAAAATGTTAAACATTCGTAATACTATACTTAATATAAGATATTGTTACCAAATAACTAATAAAATAATATTATTTATTAATTTCAAATAAGATAGCCTATTCCTGATTAATTGTCATCCAAATGCCCCATTTGAATATCCAATCTTATCGATGGATGGTTTAATTATTAGTAAGTTTGTAAATGTTATTGCCAATCCCCATCATTCAATCGCAAAGAAGGAAGTGTTATGGCCACTGTGTGCTATACTTCCTCAGATGTTATATGTGCAATTAGACTCGAAATCACGAGGGTCCAAAGCCCGATTCAGTAAGAGAATCGGCTAAATTCAAAGGTGGTATCTCCCAACTTGGGCGATTTTCTTGGAAAATATACTAATAAACGGACCTTGGGCTTGGGGGATTTTCCTGGATTGTTGTGCAGCTCCCACCAGAATCGCTAAGATCTTGTAATGGGCCGATTCTGGCATTGCTCGAGTTGAGACAAGTAGTTTTAATCACTCTTTTCCAAACTCCTAAAAAGGTTATTCTCTAGTGGAGAATGGGGTTGGGGTCGTGGTGGTGGCATTATTTGTGCCCCAACTAAAGTATAGGCTTCCATTATCACGTAATGCATTAAAAAACCATTAATGATTTCAAAAATAGATAAAAGCTCGTCATCTCCATTAAAAATTACCCAAAAAAAAAAAACAGTCAATTCATTACTCAAAATGGAAGGGAAGAAGTTTATAGAGTGTGTCAACCAATACCTTAGAAGTGAGGTGGATCTCAAAAGTCTATCAGAAAAGGCCATTCGAATATTGAAAAGCCTTAAAATGGATCATCCAAACTTTGAGAAGTATAGACATGGAAAAAAATGATTTCAAGTCCTCAAAATAGTGCATCTTGTAATATTATCTAGACCATCGATTTTCAAAAAAATTTAGGTATTTATTGATCTACTCGATCTACACCATAATTAGAAATGTAAATTTCATAAGTATGGGTGAAACTAGCTTTTTTAGGCTATTGTAAGGGTTTTCGATACTTGAACTCAATGATTTAAAAATCGACGAGTCGAACCGGACTATCTCGGTTCGACTTGGGAATCGACACAGCCCGTGCCGGTTCCAGCACAAAAACGGAAACCACTCGGTTCTAGAGTAGAACCGCCAATTCCCACCCGGTTCTGTCCGGTTCCCTCCCAATTCTAGCCTCAAAAGCACCTTCACATATGTGTACGCATCACGCGTGCGACACGCACCACACCCACACGTGTGTACTGTGACACGGGCGGTACACACTCCCACACGAGCCACACACACTCCCACACGTGCCATACATGTGTGCACTGGTTCTAACCGATTCAAGCCTTAAAATCACCTTCACACGTGTGTAAGCGTCACACGTGCGACACACCACTCCCATATATGCCACACGTGCGACACGCTCATGCACGGATGCCCTTGTATTTTCACACTTGTGTTTATCTTCCAATTACATAGTTATTTATATAATATATTTGAATACTCATCCTTCAATATGGGATAATTCCCAAACATCATTAAATGAAAACAGAATATAAATATATGGTATTAATATGCACTTTTAAACACATATGCCAAGGAGGCATGATGGTTATCACTAATGTTAATTGCTTTGACTTCTCAAGTTCGAATTCCCCTTGGGCCATGTAATAGTTTATCCCTTCTTGAGCTAATTTTTGTTCCACCTTGGGCATATAATAAATTAAGGTGTTATTTCCAAAATTTGTACGCATTTTATGAATTTTATATTGATAACCAAATCTTTTATTTTATTTATAAATTTTAACATTATAAATCATGTAATGTACTATTTTTCTTACAGTTGTTAATAATACATTTTAAATTAGATAATATTATAAAATATTTTAAATTTGTTATTATTTATCTAATAAAATAATTATAAAATGTAAATTAACAATTATAATTTCAGTATATAATATTATAATTAGTTAGGTTGTAATAATTTTGGATTATAGTTAGTTAGGCTGTAATAATTTGGATTTTTTTAGCTGATTAGGGTTTTTTCGCCAAAATGAGATTTTAATGGCCATTCTTTCATTGATTTAGTCTACTCTTTATTATAGTCTATGTATAATTATATATTTTATCCATGATAATTTTTTAATTTTTCTTTTATGTGATACAAATTTAATACTTAAGTTTATACAACAAAAGAGCATCTCAATATTCACAAATTGATGAAAAAAACGAAAGTTAATAATGTAGTACCCTCATTTTTTATTGGATTCCTAAAAAACAACATTTATAATGAATTTTAATAATTTTTTCGGATTTGTTTGAAGCTTTAATCCTACCGATTCAACCGATTCCCAATCCGGATCGCCGATTCGCCGATTCGGATCGATTTTTGAGGTGCCTGATCCGGGGATCCGCTTTTTAAACCATTGCTTGAACTATATTTGTTGGCAAGATTTAGAGATGCGTCTTACTTTTATTCAATGTTTTAAAATATGGATCGGTGGAGTAGATCGTCTACCCTCAATCCCAGTTTGGATCTATTGGATTGGCGATTGGGATCATTCTTGAATCTTCTGAATTTGTTATCCAAAAGATTTTAAGAACTAAAAGAAAATAAAATGCAAATTTAAATAGAGGTTTAAGGGGATGGGTTTAGCGGGGACCATGGAAAACGTTAGATAAGCTTAGGGAAAAAGAAAAGAAAAGAGGAGTTTTATAGGGGAACTGGATCGGGACTTATACCATTTTGAAACCAATTGGGTCCCAAACAATTTCGCATCTTGACCTGTGACCCAATCGGAAATCGCTGGGTTTTAAAACATTGATTTCATTGTTTAAGGTTGAAACCTTTGCTAACTACGCGCAAATGATAATAAACCTAATTATGGAATAGTTTGGATAGAACACGCAATGTTCCATTTAGGCACGCACATTTTTTTTCGGGCTTTCATCAAAATAAGAAAGTCAAAAAGTATTTGGGCTTTGCTTCCAAATAATAAAAAAGTCAAAATTGTAGATTTATGGATCAAGAAGATGGTTCACAGATGAAAGGAGAAATATATTATATTCCAAGGACGGAGCTTAGGCAAACTTCGTGTTGGGTTGGGGCGCACTTGAAAAGGCCCAAATACTTTTTATTGGAATTGAGTTTTTCTTTTTTGAGTTTTAAATATTATTACTTTGACGAATGTCAAAAGAGAGATGTATAAAAAAATAGGATATTTAGATCAACTCATTATTATTGATAATTTACTATTTTTATGAAATTCTAATAATGAATTATTTGTTATAAAATTATTTGAAATACACCAGTAGTTTTATATATGGGTGCAGTTTCAATAAGGTTGCAACCTTAAACAATTCAATTAAGGTGCACCCTAAAATTTTATCATAATATGTAATTTTAGTGTAAAAAATTATTAGTATTATCTTAAAATATATTTTCATACCTAATTAAAAAATTTAAAATTTCAAAAATGGTTAAAATCAAGTAGATATATAAATATATGAAAATCTTGATAATAAACGGTCTAGATAATGTGTTGCGAGATGCACTATTTCTGAGATTCAAAATTTTTTTTTTTTCATATTCATATATCTCGATATCGAGATGATTGATTAGAGGGCTTTTTCAATATTAAAACAACAATTCTGATAGATTTTTGAGGTGCATATGTGATTCTACATTTTAAGGTTGCAACCTTATATAAACTTTTCCTTTTATTATATAAGTAATCTCTTAAAAAGCTATTTTTGTTTTGTTTAAACATTAAAGTAATTTGTTGAAAATCACTTATTTCTCGATACAAATAGCTAGAATGTCATTCAAAGGTTTCCTAAACGCTTTAGAGATTTGACGCTAGCTGTTTCCAAGGTCTTAAGCTTTTGGGAAAGGGGTTGAGGTCGTATTAGTAGCACCCCCACACCCTAGTCACTACGTTGTGGTTTTCATTATCACTAACATCATCAGGCTAACACTTTTAAAAAAATAACTCCTAAACTATTTTTTAAAAAC